TTCTATTTAAGTATAATGATAAAACAACTATATAACATGCAAGATCTTAAGCAAATTTTGAAAAAATGAATTAAAATTACTAAAAGTTGGAAGTACTTGAAAGAAGAAAGCTTAAAGAACATTGTATTCAGCAAAGTTGAGTACCTGGATCTTGCAGCTGTTCCAAAGATGCCCAGAGCCAGCCTAACTCTTGAATTGACATTACTAGGCAAGGCATCAGACACATGGGATCTTGCCAAATCCATCAACAGACTGGCTCTTATATCTCCTAAGGCTGGGTAGACCTCAGTGGCCACTCCTTAACCTATCCAGGCCAGGCTGCCAAAAAGTGGATCAGCTTCATGTCACTACTCTACAGCTGACACCAGGACAGATGAAGAAGAGCACAAGTGGGGCATCAGTAACAGCCCAGTGTATCTAGTTATAGGATGTGCCACTATAACACATCACCAAATGCTGGACCATTAGATCCCTATACCAAAAAATACCTTTCCGTATCTTAAGTCTTTCTGAGGATCGATCAAGAAATAAGACAGGTCTTATCAAGCTGGAACCAGAAGTTCAACATCCAGTGACTGTTACACCATTGTAAACAAAGAAAAAATACTGAATCAAAAAGTAGTAAAGAAAGATCATTATGGAATTTTCTGTCAATTAAAATCTATTTAAAGAACATTTCTTTTCATTCACTGCTTTAACACTTTAATCCTTTCAATAGTTTTCAGGCTGGTTCCCAAAAAAGATCAATTATCCACCAAAAAAATAAAATCATGGATTTGACCATTTTTATTACATTTGCAACATCGAAATATATTGTATTTTCTTTATCTAACATTAATTCTTCTTAAAAACCAGGATGGACAGTGAAATTTATTTGAATTAAATACAAAAATAAGGAAGATAAGATGAAAAGTGTTCTTCAATAAATGATAAAAATTATAGGCATAACTAAGTCAATAAGAGGTCAAAATCATTATAAAATATAAAGATTTTAATATACATAAAAATATCGAATATATAAAGAAAGTGTCTTTATATACATGTTAAATGTGTTACTGCGAGTATTGGAATGAAAAATACAAGTTTGTATTTTTACAAGGTTTTTATTTTTATAGCTAATTTTTCAGTGTATATTATGGTAATTAAATACAAAATACTATGCAAATTGTAAAATACATGTAATTAAGTTTCATGGCATAGCATGTAGATGGCAACATGCACACAAATATGGCAGTCATTTCAAGGATGAACGTCGAAGCAGAGGGAAACTTTTTTTGGTAGCCATGGGGTAAATCCTAATTTCACAGTCATTAGATATAAATATTTGTTCAGATATATCTGAATGTCACAACAAACGGGTTAACTTATTTGCTCGATCAGGCAAGTAAATATGATATTTTATTTATCCAAATAGAGATTTGACTTGCCCAGGCAATCAGACAACCGTTAATGTCAAGTTCTAATATGTGTAGCTTTTATAAAAAATTACAACTGTCAGTTTATTGAAAATAATTCTAAAATACAACTTCAAATCACAGACTACTGCTACTACAGTTTATTCATTTTTATTGTTACCAAGCTCTCTTACAGAAAATAATTTCAAAAAGTAAAAGGTTGAATAATCAAAAAGTTGAATGACTGAAAAAGAACAGAAGGTATTGCTGGAACATTTATTGATTGTCCAGATAAAGTTATAAATACCTTATCTCAATATAAACTTATGGAAACAGAAAACAAAGTACTATCTAAATGATTGAAATTTTCAATACCACCAGAAAAAATTAGATTATAAATTTTTTTCTTTTTAAAAATTGTAAGGAAGCTAAAGGATAATCCTATTTATAGAAAAAGTTGAAGAAACTTTAATAGCATTGTTTTTACTTGTTACTGAGCATAAAGCTACACAACAGGCTATCTGCATTTTGAAACCAGATATTCAGTGTTATAAGCCCTCAGATTTCCCATTTATCTGATGAAATTAAATTTATAAAAATGAATTCTGATTTTAAAAAGAAAACGAGAAAGAGAGAAGTCAATTACAAAAATATTTGTTAAAATTAAAGAAAGATAATGCCATTAGTAATAAAGTATACAAAGATTTAGACTGGAGATCCTCACTGTGATATTTTGTATGTTTACCAAAATGTTTTAAAAATAAATGTCCTATTAGGCCAATATTTTCAAATATAGACACCTATAACCAGAAACTAGCATGTTTTTTTAATTATTTTTTCAAAACATTTGAAATTAATGGATATATATAGTAAAGAATAGTTTGAGATTTCTTCCAGAGAGCAATTCAACCAGGTGGCTAATGACATAGAGAGATGATCAATCTTGCGAGATGTGACACACACAAGATTCCTCGTCTGTAACGATAATCCATTAGAGGTCATGTGAATCAATTTGAGAAGTCACCTCATTAAGGTAATAGGAGATAAGGTACAGGAAATAGAAGGATCCAAAAAATTAACAATTGATTCCTAGTACCTTGAAATGAGTTAGTACGAGCCAAATGACACTTGAGGGCCCTGACAGGACACAACAAACAATAAGTATCGAAGCGGTCATAAAGGTGAGAAATGGATGGGTAAGAAGGATCTTTTCTCTTCCCTGGTTGCCAGAGTCTTGGGAAGAAAAGACCTATTGGGGTAAAGCAAGACAAATGTGGAATGATAAAAAGTCCAATCCACATGGATTGCAAAGACAGTGTCCACAAGCTAACAACAACAAAAATTACAATTCAAGAGAAGAGTGAAACAAAGAAAACAAAGTTAAGGGCTCAAATGGAGGATAGGACAATGCGTGTAAAGCAATTCGGTAATTGAAAAGGACATTTGGACTGAAGAACACAAAAGGATTCGAGTAGATGTGATAATACTGGGGGTTCAAAAACCTTTCGATATTGGAAATACCGAAAAATAGTGGATAAGGACGCCTTATATAAAGCCACCATAGACGAAGCAAACATCTGGATGGAGAATGTCTGATCGAGGTTGTCTCAACAGAGACTGCCAAAGTGGAAGAGGTAAAGGTGGACATTTCTGCAAATACCGAAGAAGTGGAAACCACATTTGAGCTGGTCCATATGGTGCAACCAAGTGAAATTGACAGGGAGTGGAATGAACCATAGTCAAAACCCTGGGGCAATAGCCAAATTGGGAGAAAGGCATATAGATGTAAACCTATCCAGTCTTGACTGAATGTATCTAATACCAACACTTGAAAATGAGGTATAAGAGACCAAACAACTGCAGTCAAGAATTCCAATGAGTCGCAAAAGCATAGCTCATTGGAGACTCGAACTGAGAACAAATCCACCAAAAACCAAGTGATGTAGCATCCATTTCGTCAGAAGAATCTGGTTGGGTCAAGACAAGTGATCTGCAAGTACATAAATCACTCCTGGAACATGACAAGATAAAAGACTGATACGAAGGGAATGAGCCCAGTAGAGAAGATCCAACATATGAAAACAATGGTCTTGAGAATCATAAACCAATGTATACAAGATTGTATAGTCAAGATGACAGTTTTACACCTATTTAATATAATGATAATTTGATAAATATCTATTTTATAGAGTTTATCATATTGCCAGTAACTATCATTATTGTCATAAAGAAATGTAAAAAGTGTGTTGTTGAAAAATACTTTTAATCTATCATTACTTGACAACAGTTTAAAGCATTCTCTAATGAAATATACACCCCTTGTAAAGTGAGTTACGATGTGCTCGAACTGTAATCTTATGTCAGTCTTCCATTTATAGGTAAAGAAAGTTGTGTGTTGAGAAATACAAAATATCTAGAAATCAAATTATCCACAAATTTCAATGTGTATAGCCTTAAAATCAGTACTGAAAATTGAGAAATTTTTAAGCCAAAGGACAAAATTAGTAAACTTCAACACTCTTGTTGATCAATATATTTGTTTTCAATATAGATGAGATTACGTGGGATCAAACATGAATAACTTAGAGCAGCATATAAAAGAGCACCTGAAGCCTAGTGCTGGTAATCCTACAAATATCTACAAACACCTAGACCAGGAATGTGACAAAGTGTTACTGAAAAGAACTCTGACATAATGTGTAGTTCCAACAATGAACAACATTCGAAAACCGAAGAGACTCTGGTGATCAAGAAACTAAAATCAATACTTTGCACAGACACATAATACATTTTATGATTTCACTTAAAGTAGTAGGTGTACTTAACTTGAACTGTGTGACTTTGTCATTCACCACAGTTTACATATAATAATGTCTGTCAACTTTAATATCTGCCTCAATTTTATGTATGATTTTTATGTAGAATCATATTCTATTAGATTAACAGACGTAACCAAAATGATTATTTCATTATCTTAATGTCAATTTTTCACCAAAAATAATTATCGGGTATTATATTTTACTTTAAAACAATAACAAACGATTTATGCCAGTGGTTAACAAAATTTTCAAAAGTGGTGACTAGCACAATTGTATAACTTTTGTGGAGTATTAACATTTTTGATACCCAAAGAACCTGAATGACCCACAACAAAGGTGTTTTTTGAAAACTTAAAGTAAAGGGATTAGTAAAACAAAAGCAAATCACATGCTATAACTTAATCAAATTTACCAACTTTGCAAAATTAATTCATTCATTTTTATGGACTGATAAAATTTTAATTGTATAGAAAGTGACTGGGAAAACTTATTTAGACTACAGCCTATATATGTGTTAAATAAATGAAAGAGTAAACTTATTTTTTTAAATGTAAAACCCCCTTTTTTTCCTTCATTGTGCTACCTCAGCCCTGAACCAGCCTACAAAAATGTTGTGTTGTGCTTTCTAAGCACTCTTACACAGTGAAAAAAATAATTATGTGGTGGGAGGCATGTAATTAGAATATGGATAAGTGTGTATTGCTTTTATTTTCAGTCTCCAGCAGAACAACTGTCACTTTAGAAGAAACTGATCTTTATGTTTTAACTAGAACTAGTCAACTCTTACCTTATCCCAGTAAGGTTGTAGATCAAGCTCACTGAATAAAACTGGGTCATAAAAATGTTTCTTGAACAACCTAGAGAGAAAATAAACAAAGCAATAAATTGTATTTTTAATGCAGAGCTACTTCAGAGAATTAAAGTTCACTACTAACCTAATATTTTACTCTACTACAATAATAACGGATGATGCCTAGTTTATATTATTGAAATAACCTCTACACCACATTTTCTGGAATTTCAACATATAGAAATATTTATAAATTTTGTAGCATTAAATTATGCAACTGCTCTTCAATTAATATATGTAATAATTAATATAAGATTAATATATGTAGCCAACAGACAACTTGTGGCACTAAAACCAGCACAATCATATTTATACAAAATAAAATAAACTAGCAAACATGGAATTTCCCATTTTCTGATAGCTGAAATACTAATCAGCAGAATTAAGAGCAATAGTGTAACCCAAATGATTAAACATTTTGCATTATATACATGTAATTTAGTCACTGTTGAAAAAAAACTAATATTCAGAGATTCAGAAGATCAGTATAGGTCCCTCTGAACATTTTACTACATGACAAAACTGTTCGTTGGTAGATAGAAATGCAGTGACCTAACATAACCATTCAAGAATGAGAGTACCACAAAACTGTGGTAAGAAAAAGCCTCAGTGCAAGTATGTTTAAGTAAAAGCCAGAGAAAATTTCTTGTAAATAAAACAAGTCTAAGACCTTAGCTTCTACAGATAATTTCTTGCAAATAAAACAAGTCTAAGACCTGACCTTCTACAGATAATTTTCAATATGTTTTTAGTCCACATCATTATTTAACAGTTACTTCAAGTAATGGCTATATTTCCACATTTCATAAACACACTGATAAACATAAACTTTCCTTTCTCTAGGTCACATCCATACCAGTGAAAAAAATTACTCTTATCAGTCAGACCCTCAAACTTCATTCTAAATGAAACAATAATGATGACATCTTATAGAATGTGATAAACTACATGATGTATTCCATAATCATGGATCATATTAACTTCTCTTTGATCAAATAACTATAAATCAATTTATCATATTCAAACACACACACAGAATGAAAAACCTTGATAGGACTTTTGCCACCACACATACTGTACTTTTCAAGTATTGACATGCATTTCTTTTTGCTTTTCATCTCAAAATAATCCCCTCACATAAGATATGTATTTTACATTAATGTCTACAATAGTTAATCCTAGAAATGCTAAAACTATAAAACTTAAATGCCAAATAAACTCTCAATTTTTTAATGCTATTTGCTTGATTTTTCTAACTGCAGAGGCTTTTATATATACATGAAATTGCATGCACTGTAAAAATTGGAATTACAAAGTACTTGTCCAAGATTAATCATGACATCAAACTATATCTGTATTAATTATAACAATCATAGTTTGACATCTAAAATTTTTGGGTTACTTTTCATCATGTAAATCTACATAAAAAAGCTTTCATCACAGCATTTTTAGATTTTTTAAAAAAGCCACCAGATCATAAATTACCAAGCTAATGTTCTTTCCCAACTTCACACCCTATTCATCATTCATTATTGTATATTCATTTGGTGGTTAAGTGTCCTAGTAATATGTATTTTTGCTAATTAACAGCACATTCTTCCCATTTTTCTAAGAAAGGTCAAAAAACTGAAAAGTTGATGTTTAATTTCCTTTTCTTTTTTTCCAATGTCATAATTATTTGACATATACATTTTGGATTAGTTTTGTTTATTTTTATGTTTTTTTATTTACTGACAAAGCATTTTCAAGTTTTAAAACTCTGCAAATCATTTGATAGTTGCAGTACCATTTTTAGTTTTTGTAATGTTTTTGGTAAAAAAAAAGTTATCTCAACTCCTTAAGACATTTTTACATCATTTTAATAAAACTACCATACTTAGACTCAAACAGTATAAAATGATTGAAATCCAATGAGAAGATTGTACTTTTCACAACTACAAACACAAATGCTGATTCCAAAATTCAAAGAATCACCAAAATGTTTAACCATAGCAAAATTCATAGTGATATGTTATAAACGTTTAGATTGCACTTCCAGCCCAACTCCAGAAATGGCAGTGTACTAATTCTAATAAAGTGACTTTGGCTATCTAGAATGTATCTAAAAGTAATAATTAATTAAATCCATCAATTAAAGAATATGTTTTGAAACTTATGTAACAAATGTAAATAGTTAGTTTACAGATTCTACTGAATACATTGCCAAAAGACTAAGTCCTTCTCCACTTTGAACGAACAGCATACAAAAAATATAAAAAGCATAGTTAACATGTTTTTCATTAATTCACACTTTAATGTTTATTTTATACTCAATATGTTGAGTAGTTTAACCACTATCCAAGATGACAAATCTTTTAATTCATTCCCACATGCAAGATGCACAAAACTACAACTAATTAGAAACATTGTAAACTACATCTAAAATAATGACTGTTTTCAATTACATGTAGATTTATTCTTCAGTCCACTAAATGAAAAAATATAAAAGTAAACTCTGACCATACCCCTGACCAAGAACTAATTATTGCATTTCCTTATCAGCTCTTACAAAAAAAAAAGTCATACATCTAAGACCAGTTGTAATAGCTCTTGGAAAGCTTAAAAAACATAATGATTTTCCATTTCTAAAGAAAATGATAAATAATAATTATTATACCACTTGATAATCTGACTAATATTTGGATGTTGCCTCTTAGTCATCCTAATTACATCAAATACATTTTAGGTATGTTTCTAATGTTTTACAACTATACAGCAATTAATTCATGTTTACTGGTTATGATTAGAAACAGTTGTATATGTAATCATCTTTGACATTACAGTGGTGATGGAGAATAGTGGAGCAATTTAGGTAGGTTGAGTGTAATTTTATTTTTTCTTGTTTTTCCAAGTATTTGGTTATTTTTACCTAAATTCATATTTTTTATAATTATATAATTTTTTGCTTCAAAGTACTAGTTGAATGACCCAAGTTTGACTATATGAATGCTTTTTTTGGTTTTAATAAGACTAAAAACAGGAAAATTAATTTCAAGTAACTGAATTCTAAGAGCATACTGGTGTGTGTGTGTTGATTTTAGAACATTAGTTTTGGAATGACAATGTTATTCACAGATGTAACACAGATAAAAGCTTAAAGGTTTGATGTAGAAAGTTCAAACACTAAAAATATTTAAAATACATAAAAAACAAATAAAATGGTGAACAGAAGTCCATTTCTTCTAAAATATATTCAAACATGCAATTATTACAACAAAATCATGATTCTTAACTAGTCTTAAATTTTAAAGGACCTGTTTCCATCTCAGTTTTACAGTAAAGTTGAGGATTAACCTTTCTGGATTTTCAAATTACTCTTTTAGTTTTATCAGTTACATGACAAGCAACTTCTTGTTTTCAATCATAAAAAATATGACCACAAATTCTATATCAACAACTTATAGCTAAAATCCAAGGTTTCAGAACATACCTTTCTGAAGGGCTAGATGTCTAACCTTTCAGAAAAGACTGAAGCCAAAATGTTGAATACTAGTTAATTTAGATTCTGTTCTGAAACTTGCAGTTGCCTTTTTTATGATGATTTCCATCCTCAAATCTATCTTAATTTAGGTCAACCTTTGGCTTTGTCTACATACTCTCAAAAATACAAAACACAACATAAATTATTTTCTTTATCAAAGCATATTGACTTTTTCAGCATCAAACTAATTTTTGTAGATAGTCCCTTTCTTTGTTATCTCACCATGCTGGACATTGGACTTTAAAAATGATATGACATAATTCTTTTTTGTATCATTTCCAGCTAACTTCAGCTTTTCACCAGGAAATTTGTGGAATGTTAATTATAAATTACATATGACTGTATGACATGCTCTACTCAGGCTCATCTCTTTCAGGGCTACTACAGGGAAAGCCTATGAAACCTTCTGCTCTTATCCAAATATGAGAACATAGACTGCAACCTATTGTTTGGTAAATTGGATTCTAGTAGTTAATTAGCAGGAGAGCAGATCTTGGTTTCACATATTTTATTTGTCAATCACACAGAGGACTATTTGAAATAATTCTCGCAAAGGATGAAGTTATGTTCATTCATCTGATTTGCATTATTCCAATTATATTCATTTTATCAAGCATTACTGGCTCACAATTCATTCCATTATCAAATATAGTGCAATGGATATCTCATTTCCCAAGAAAAACTGCAATTTATTTCCATCATTTTACTGAGGTGACACAACTAGTACATAAACATTTTTCTTTTAAATCTAACATAATCAAAATTTCAAACTTGAGTTATAAAGCACAAACTCAAAAGCTTAAGGATATGATTAACCAAGCTCTAGTAATAATCACTGATAGCTCATGGACCTGGGGGGTTGAAAATTACCAACCCTGGGGCCCAAGGTTGTATCAGGTTGTATCATTTTGTAGGTATTCATGTAGGGATTTTATTTTTATATGATAGCAATGTCAACTGAGTAGCTTAAGAGAGTTATGCAGGGTAAAATGTTTGAAGCCTCTCAATTTCATATATTTCTTTATTTGGGCAGTGGATCATGTTCACTTTTCACCTATTTAGTATGCATATTAGTATGATTATAACAGTTTTGTCTCTTTATTTCCATGCAGTAAATTCCTTGCTACACCATGTCATTAAACCATACAGAATATGTAGTATTAATACTTGCATTCATGACCTAGGTATATGCTTCTCACAGATTTTTAAGCATACTTAAAACACTGATTATAAATAAAAAGCTGTATAGTAAGTGAAGAATTTGATTTGTATAAAGAGTAACTGATATTTATGCATATAATTGTACAATGCTTATGACATAAGACAATGAGCCACAATTTCTTTGCATTCATGTAAGTGAAAGTGATTTTATACTATTCAAAGAATAGAATGTTTGACCACTTTTACATGAATTTTGGTTAAGAACAGTTTTTTATGGTACTGCTCCATGATATTTTATGTACAAGTATATAGAAGAGGACAAGAAG